GGAGGAATTGGGGTGGGGATAGGGGTAGGGTGGGCTGCACAATTAAGCCATCTTGGTCACACTGCGCTCTGATGGATCATTCTCTCAGTCCTGGTTCTGTGAAGGGGCTCCCGAGAAGTCCTTATCACTCCAGGGTCCCATTTCCACGTGCCCCCCAGATCATTTGTCTACCACTCTTGTGATCCTAGAAGTGGGCCATGACTGGGGACTCCCAGGCCCCATTTCAGGGGCCTGAAACAGGATGCTGCGAGTCTCGCCTCAGTCTTCCAGGAGCACAAGATGGGCTAGATGAATTGAGGGCAAGTGGCCCTCATGTTACTGTTTTTTAGGTAAACACTCCTTAAACCATTTAACATGCCTATGTGCAGACCAAAGTTTAAGTCAATAGGAGACAGATACAAAATGAAGGCAGGGATGCCGGGCAGGCCTAAATGGAGAGTCTCTGCCCTTTAGCAAAGGCGGCCTCTATCAGTCCCTGGGTGCACCTAACTGAACAGTGGGAGGAGCTGGAACCTAGCTGGCCCTCACCGGCAACTGCCTCGGGCCAGACGCTCCTCTCCCTACCTGGCCTCACCTCTTCCCTCTCAGTCCTCTGTGCGTTTCACGTCTGGTATTGATCTCGCCCATGATGGATGGAGACAGGGCGGCCCACACTGGGTGTCAGAGAGGAACCAAAGTCCCACCCAGAGAACTCTGATTGGCCAGTTTGGGTCAGGGCTCAGCCCTAGGCCATGTGAGAAAAGATGTCAGCTTCCATGTGAACTATCTGCTGGGAATGAGGTCAGGTGCCAAACACAGAGGAAGCAGGGCTCGCTGACCACCTCCGCACCCAGCTCAGAGCCGGATCTCTCCACAGCCCTCTTCCTCCAGCCTGGCCTGCCTCTGCCTGTCACTAGTCCCCTGGCCGGCAATAGCAGTCCATAGACCAAATAATCATCTGTCCCCATTCCCTCAATACACGTTGTGGAGCAGGACAGGGCGGCAGCCGTAAGATCTCACGTTAGCAAAGGGTTAGCAAAGGGAAGAACAGGAAACCCACAGGGGGGCCCGTCAGGCCATTAGTGAAAACCGCTGTGTGGAGCCCTCCTGCCCTGGATCACATGCTCCCCTTCCCTTTCTGCCCTGGGGGTGACCCTTCTTCACTGTCCCCTGGGACCCCTGGCTCAGCCCTCTGGGAGCTTCTTCCTTGGTCACTATCCTCCTTGGCCATTCATCTAACGTGTGCCCCCTTTGGGGGCCCCTAGTTCTGTGCACACACGTGTGGTGTTTTGGGGGTTCAGGAGTTTCTTTAGGGGTTGAACAATCATAGGCTCTTGTGGACCTGACTTGCCTGTTTGCCCTACCAACTACCGACACTGAATGGTTATGTCAGAAAAACACAGAATTCTGTGACATTTGAGTCACTGTATTTTGAGACCTTTTTGTTACAGCAGCGTAGCCTTCTTTGGCTACTCAATTCCATCAAAAACTCAGATGCCTCCTGCTCTCTTTGCTTCCAGTCCTCCCGTGCAGGAGCACCACACCCAAAAGGCCCTTCCAGACATGGTTATCGACCCTGCCAACTCTGTTTCCCAGAACTGGCCTCCTGCTGCCGCATGTCAGGGCTGGCTATTGAGGCACCTGAACAATAGTCTGAGTGGGAAGGTAACAAATGACACTCTTAATTAGATCCTGGCCACAGGGCTCCTTCTCATTGCCAGGTAGAGGAATATTAATGGTAGGTAATGCAGTCTGCCCTTCAGGTTATGGCAGTCTGCCACAGACTTAACAAGGGCCATCAGCCTGCCATCTTGCCACATCTGTCTGTGTCTCTCATTGATATCACCCAACCATCAAACCAATGCCATATAGTTTAATTTTTTTTTTTTTTTTGTACCACAGATTGAACCCAGGAGCACTTAAACACTGAGCCACATCCCAAGCCCTTTTTACTTTTTATTTTGAGACAGCATCTTGCTAAGTCCCTCGGGCCTCATTAAGTTGCTGAGGGTTGGTCTCAAACTTGTGAGGCTCCTGCCTCAGCCTCCCAAGTCACTGGACTTATCAGTGTGTGCCACCAAGCCCAGCTTTAGATGTTTTTGTTAAAGTTGTATCTCACTTTTTATATTCATTGAGTGTAGGCTACGCTGCTATAACAAAAAGGTCTCAAAATACAGTGACTCAAATATGATAGAATTCTGTTTTTTTTTTTTCTGACATAACAATTCAGAGTAGGTCGTTGGTAGAGCAAATAGGCAGCTCTGCTCTGTGAATTGACCAAGGTCCCAAGTCCCTTCTCTCGTGTTGCTTCTCCATTCCTATGACATACACCTCATGGTCAAAGCTGTCCCACTCCATCCGCTCCCACCTTCCAGCTCATGGAAAAGGAAAAGAAAGGAAATAGAGGTAAGGAATCTCATTAAAGAAAACATAACCCACAAGTTTCCCATTGTCACTTTGGGCCACATCCTATTGGCCAAAATTCAGTCATGACATGGCCACACTGTGCTACAAGGGAGTCAGTCCTGTTGGAATGGGGGTCTCTCCGGTCACTTGGAGGAAGAATAGGAAATGGAGATTGGGGAGTAATTAATGTCTCTGCCTCAGGAAGAAAGCAAGCTACAAAGAGTGATGAGGAACGTCGTACACCGAGTCCCAAAGGTCGGGAGACAGCCTGGCTCCCGGGGCCACTTCTTCATGGTCTCAGCTCCCTGAAAATGGGCATTTCCCAGCCAGCCGACCTGGCACTGCCAACACTGTCTCCTGGGAGCATCCCTGGCTCCTTGTCCCCAGGAGGACCCCTGAGAGGGGCACTGGGAAGGACTCTCTCTCTCTGAGGGTGTTGGGCCACCTTCACCACTCACCTCCCACGGGAGGCCCCAGGATCGCCCGCCACCTGGTGCCATCCTGGGCACCTCCTGCGAAGCTTGGGAGTTTTCCGTTAGTTGATTTCTTTGATTTGATGGTGGTTTTGCAACAGGACTCACAGAGAAGCCTGGCTGAACCCAGGCAGCAGGTGACCGGCAATGGACACGTTGCCCAGCCCTGAGCTTCCAATCAGGGCCTCTGCGACACCAGGACTCCATGGCTTATTTATACACAGCGGAACGGGGCAGCCCGCGGTTCTGGAGGTTGCGGAGTCCGGGATGAGGCCCTGGCGGCAGTGTCTGGGGAGCGCCCCCTTTCTCCCAGATGGTGCCTCCTCCCTGTGTCCTCCTGTGGCAGAAGGCACGGGGCAGCTCTCCGGGGCCTCCTTTTAAGGCACTTATTTAATCCATGGAGATCAGTCCCCTTCATTAGGTCCTTGTGACCTGGTCACCTCTGCAAAGGTCCCACCTTTGAAGACCATCACTTTGGGATTGGGACTCAGTATATGAAGATGGGGACACAAACATTCAACCCCTGCAGGTGTCCCACCTCAGGGTTTCCGACTTAGATCCAGGCCTGGGGCTCTGTTGACTTTTATTTATCATTTACTGATTATTAATTTTTTTTTCTTTGCACAGGGAATTAAACCCGTGGCCTCACACATGCTGGGCGAGGGCCACACGGAGCCACACTCCCAGCCCTCTGCTCACCTTCCTTAGCCTCAGCACCTCCTGACCTTGACCTCTGCAGGGTGCTGAGGCTGCTCAGCCCGTCCTGTCCCCCGCTGCGCCAGGAGGGAGGCGCTGGGGAAATGAAGGCAGCGAGTGGCCTTGGGCAGGGCCACGGCACCATGGGCTCAGGGTCCCCCAGGGCTCCAGGTCAAACCGCCCTTTCCTTCTCCCGCCACGTTGGAGGGGCCGGTCCCTCGCCATCCTGGAATGGGCCAGCCTCGCGGCATACCCGCAGCAGGAAGTGGCCCTGCTGGACAGATCACCGGGCTCTCCTCTCTCCTCAGGGTGCAACGTGGAAAATGCCGTCTACCCACTGGGCAACTGTGCTGAGCGGAATGCCATCCAAAAGGCCATCTCCGAGGGACACAAGGACTTCAAGGCCATTGTTATCTCCAGGTGAGCGGGGGAGGCAAGAGACAGGGACCCTCCTGCAGCCCTTCAGCCAAGGCCCCACCTGGGACTCCTGGGCACCTCGGTGCCAGGCACGGGTGCAGGACCTGCTGAGTCTGAGGGCGAGGAGATAAGTAAGAAGTGGACTCTGCCCCTGTGAGCCCCGGGAGCCGCCCTAACACCAGGGCGGGTTCCCTTCCAACGGCACAGGGCACACAGAGAGGCAGCCCAGAGACCAAACCTGGAGGGACCCCGGCTGAGGTTCCCTCCTACAGACAAACCAAACCTGAGGCCCAGAGAAGTCAAGCTAATTTCCTGGGAGTTAGTGGCAGAGCTGGGACAAAACCCAAGTCCCAGAGTGCCACTCCAGGGCCATCCCACTGCTCCAGGCTGTTCCAGGAGGTCAGTGGCTGCTAACCCGGCCCTAAGCTCACGCCCGTCTCCGGGCACCAGAAGCAGGACAGGGAGACCAGCTGCTGAGGTGGCAGCTGGGGACGGAGCGTGGTTCAGACGAACCCAGCTCCAGCCCAGGTTCTGGCTGAGGAAGAACCCCAGCCAGCTCTCTCTGTGCCCCAGACACAAATGTCCTTGTTCTGGGGACCTACCCTCAAGGCAGGCACGCCGAGTTTTTGCTGGCTCTGGGCCCAAATACGGTGGCCGCAGGGCTCCCTCTGAATGACCTCTTTACTCATTTGACATTGATTGAATGACCCGGGGTGAGCTGCTTTTGGTCCACTTGTGCATATTACAGGAGATTGTCACTAGCGAGTTAATGACATGAGAAAGGTTAGCCCACCCAGAAAGAGGCTCCACGGCTGACCAAGCCTTGGTCTTTGGGGGATTTGGCTGCCTGGGTCACACCCCATGGGCAAGGTGGTCCTCCCGGGGGACAGAGCATCATGCAGCTGCCCAGAGCAAGGCTGGTGAGTGTGGCTTTTCTCAGACCCTGAGCTCCCATGGGCTGGCCTGGGGTGGGCCAGCTCACTCCAGGTTTGTTCTCTGGGTGACGGCCACACGTACACGGAGGGAGAAAGGACCCTGCTCCCCGGAGCCCCCCCCCCCATGACAGAGCCCTGTCCTGGCTTTCCTTCAGCTTTGGGAGAATAAATGAGGCTGTGCCGGGAACATTTTGTGCAGATGAGCAAATATCAGAATGTGAGTTGCACTTAATGAAAAAGAGAGAGACAAAGAGAGAGAGAAAGAGAGAGAGAGAGAGAGAGAGAAATAACTCAAAGCTGATTTCTTTGAGAAATAACTCAAAGAAATAACTTTCAAAGCTGATTCATAAAAATAATGATATCCAGGAGAAAGAGAAGCGAAAGTCAACAAAAAGATAACGGGGCAGAAGCCTTGTCGTTAGAACTTTCCAGATAAAAAAAGCCTTTTGCTCTTGGTCATAATCTGCTTTTAAACACGACTGGGCATTGCTAGCCACGATTAGCAAGTGTCCTTATTTACACATAACCTGCGTTTCTCCCGCGCCCAGCTGTCCTCCTACTCTGGTGATTCTCCCTGGGCCTGTGTCCCCAAATCAGGAATGTGGTCATCGTTGGATCAATTGAGAGCATGGATTTAGGGGATGGATGGGAAACGCCAGTTCTCCCTCGGGCACCGGCAAGGCTGAACAGACCGAGCCCCTCTGAGATCTCTAAGGACAGACCCTGCACCAGGAGAGGCTCAGGGGTCCCCAGAGGGCCCGGGTGGGCTTGACTTGCAGAGGAATGAGCTTGGCCCGAGTCCCAGCTGCAGTCACCACGGTCAGTGGGTTTCCAGGCTGTCTGATCTGACCAGCGTGACTTCAGCCGTGACCAAGGTCGGCACAAACCACCAGAACTCAAGGCAGGAAGGCAGGGGGGGGGGCGAGGGGGAAGAGGGAGGCAGGAGGAAGTGTCCAGATGGAGCCGCCCTCCAGGGACTCTGGGCAGGGATGTGGAGCCAAGGGTAAGCCTCCGGCTCCAGGGTCAGCGAGGCCTCCTGCTCCCCCACGGACCACGGGCATGGCGCCACGGTCTCTGAGCCGACCTGATCCACGAAATGGGGAGAGTAACGTCTATCCACAGGCTGTCCCAGCGTCTCCTGAGATGGTTTCTGTCTGGAGCAGAATATGTCCCCATCTTAAACTCCGGTTTTGAAGTCATCATTATTACTTCAGCAGGCTGCAAGGTCCCCAAAGGTAGCGTGAACAGATTCTGGGTTCCAGTCCCAGCTCCGTGGCCGTGGTCAAGGGGCCTCAGCTGTCATGAACTAACGTGTAGGTTGATAAGGGTACCTGCTCAGCCCTCACCCTTGCAGGGGTGTTGGGGAATAAATGCTCTAGACCCTGGGCACAGTGCCCCGACCAGAGGCACAGTGTAAGCCAGGGCCATTGTTATTCTTAGAACTATGTTGCGGTCACACCTCCTTGTGACTTTCCGTAGTTGAACTGGTCAATCTAACTTTCCCATAGAATACATGCTTGCCCCCCTTGAATGCCCTAACAGGTCACCAAGTTCAAGGAACTGTTCATCGGGTAGTTGACAGAGCATGCCACAAGACAGGAAGTGGCAAGCTCAGCAGGGGCCAGATCATATGAGGTCTTACAGGTCATGGGAGGGAGGCTGAATTTCACCTGGAGTTCCTCTCCCAGGGCACTGCCCACTGTTTGCCTTTGTTACCTCATTGACATTCAGATTCATTCCCCCCCCCCAACAATGAAGGGTGGGGCTTTCCTATTGTCTTTGTTGATCCTTTTCCTTGACTGCCCGGCTCAGAGCAGGTTCTTGGTTTATGTGGGTGGAACGAAGCCAGATATAACCCAGTCCAGCCCTAAAGGCTTATGGGAGAGGCCCATGGTGCAACAGCTGTCTCCTGATCATTACTCGGTCAACTTGGCTCGGGGGCCTCCTGGGCCAGGTCTGCACCTTTTCATGTTCCCATGGACTTCTGGAACAATGCTCAGAGAGGACCCCGCCTTTCCATGGAGCAGGGAATTATCAGGAAGATTAAATAAAATAGCACCCTCTGTCCCCTAAGCCCCTTTATTCTGTTCAGAGCACCCATCCCACCTCCCTTGGTACCTGGTCGGCGGGTGGGTGGTCTGCCTCTCCTGCCTAGACTGTAAATTCCTGAGCACCGTGAGTCTGTCTCAATCACTGCTTCGTCCCAGCACCCATGACAGTGCCTGGCACATAGCAGGTGCTCACTAAATGTTGGTCTGAAACGAGGCAATACATACAGGGTGCTTTGCAGGATGCTCTGCACGTTCTTGGCACACGTTAAACAAATATTGTTAACACAGAATAAGAGGAGTCATAAAATAATACATGGCACACATGAAATGTGATAAGGTACTGAGCCCACGACAGCGAGGATAGATGCAAGGAACTAGCACAGACGATGACAATATGGGCATGCACACCTCGCCACACCTCATTTTGTTTTCTCACGGTCCTACACGAGGTAGATGACTTCATTCCCCAAGAACTGAGGATGGTTAAAATGACTCCAGGTTCCCGCATAGGTTGGTTGCAAGAGGAGGAGCTGAAAACCTAAGAAGTTGAGGTCCCTTGTTCTTGCAGGTGTATCTTAAAGCCAGGGTGCAGCGGGCGAGATGATGCTGCTGCTGGCTCAAGGTCTGGCGCTCCAGCAGGCTTCGGGTTTCCCAATTAAACCTTTAGGTGACCTTAGTCCTGCTCAGAACTGGAGGGCTGGCTGTAGGTGCTTGCATTCTCACCGGCAGCCCCTGGCTCTAAGCCCCTCCTCTCCAGGCTTTCTTAGATTCGAGCCTATTTTACTCTTTGAGTCTCATGCACCTTGTTCTTCGTGCATCAGGGCCTTTGCACATATTCTTTAGTTCCTTTGCCTACAACATAGAAAAAAACCCAGCTTCAGGACAGCATCTCTGTCACTTCATCTCACTGACCCTGCTTCCTCACCTGTAAATTGACCATTCTGACACACAGCTTACTCTGAAAATTAAATGAAATGATGCATGTCAAATGCCTGGGGTAGTAGTTGCTCACTAAATGGCGATGATGTATGACCTCTACTGTTCCTCCAAGGACAGGGTCAAATGCTGCCTCCTCTGTGAAATATCCGCTTTCACTCTGGTGGCAGGGCTTGTCTCCCTCTTACTCTGTGTCCTAACTACATGTTGTTTAAAGTAGTATCCGGCTTTCTGTCACCTGCTGGGCTGAGCCATCTCATGAAGGCCAGAGTCAAATTCTCCTCAACCCCTGGAACCCCAGAGGGTAGGCGACACTTTGTGTTCCCTAAACACTCACTGAATGCTCTGAAGACGACCGCATTCCTGCCGCTGGCCTTGCCCCTTGGAAGTGTGGGAGGCCACCAAGTCGCCTCCCCAGCCTCTGGGACATCACATGTCTGAATCAGGAGCTGTCCAGGGCTCCGGCCTACCTGGATTGCTGCGGGACACACTAATCTGCCTTCCCATCTCTATTTCCCCAGTAACCTGCAAGATGACTTCATCTCACCGTGCGGGGCCTGCCGGCAGGTCATGAGAGAGGTAAGAGCCCCCTCCGGGCCGGTCCCCGGCAGAAGGCCCTGGCTCTGGCCTCCAGGAGCCAAGTGGCCCGGTGCTGTTGGCCGACCCCGAGGGCTTCCCCACCCCGCAGGAGACACTGCAACGGCCCCTTCTTCCCGCAAATACTTCCTGAGTGGGTGTCACGGGTGCCAGGCCCTGAGCCAGTGCTGGGGACAAGGCAAGTCAGGCCCTGCCTCCTGAGAGCTCGCGGCCCCGGGGCCCAGGTGGACACAAACAAGGAGGCGTCCAAGAAAGGTTGTGAGAGGGAGAGGGCAAGGTGAGTCACTGCAGGAAACGGAGTCAAGTGACAGCGGGGACACTCCAGAGCAGGGGCTGCAGACGCCAGCCCGTGGACCACAGCTGGCCGCCACTGGTCTTTATCAATAAAGTTTTATTGGAACCCTCTGTGCCCATCATTGATGTATCATCCTGGGCCACCGTCCCCGTCCCTTGGAGAGCAGAGCCGAGCAGTTACACAGAGGCCACCTGGTACTTACTGGCCTGGGACAGAGGGGGTGTCCACCCTGCTCCAGATGGCCAGGAGGGCCTCTCTAGGGGAAGGCCTTTGAGCAGAAATCCAAGTCACGAGAAATTAGGGGAAGGTGGTTCAGGGAGTTTTCCAGAGACCAACAAGGTCACCTCTTGGTGAACTGAGACACAGCAAGAAGCACAGGACCTGGGCAGTGGAGTGAGGGGACCATGGGACACGGGGTCAGAGGCCTGGGCAGGGGCCAGATGGGGCCCCATCGCAGCAGACGGAAGGCAATTTTATTCCAGAAACAGCAGGGACTGAATTGTACACTTAACAATGGTTCAAAAGCCAAATTTTATGTTATGTCCATGTTGCCACATTTTTTTTAAACGCTGAAAAAAAGAAGAGCATGAAGGGACGTTTGTAAAAAGGAGCGTCTGGGTTGTGACGGGTGTGTTACAAAAGCCGCCCTCGGAAGGCAGTGATTCCGCCAACTCTGAAACCACAGGGGTGGCTTAGACCGCGGGCTCTTCATCTGGGCCAGGTGGGAGTTTCTGAGGTTTATATGAACATTGGGGAGTGGCCGTGAGCCTGTGGATTCTCAAAGAGGATGTGTCCTTTGGAATCCCAAAAGGTGAAAGCCACCAGCTCAGAGCCCCACACACTCGGCCCTTGAGCTCTGGCGCCATGTCATCAACCGCTCTGAACACTGAAGCTTGTTTGGCCCTCGCCCTGAGCCCGGGAGACACGCAGATGCCATCAGCCCCATTTCCAGAGAAGCCGAGCACCCGCTCACGATGAGCTGGCATCGGTGGCCCTTGTCGGTCTCCCTTAAAACATTAATTCTGAAAAAGCCAGAAGATTGATGGTGTCTGGTGAATACTTGGTGGTTCAGACAGAAGTGGAGGCTGCGAACCAGAGCGGTCGCTGGCAGCCAGCGTGACCTAGCAGAAGGGGTGCGTTTAACTGAGCCCATACTATGTGTCTTTCCCGGAATTGTCTCTAAATCTCACCACACCTGGCCAGGGAGAGCCTGGGTCTGCTGATGCACACCATCTCCATGACACCACCACCAACTTAACTCCCACCTACTGACCTGCCTACCACATGCTCCCATCTCTAAAACTGTCTCATGGATCAAGACGCTGAGCCCTAAAGACTTATCCTCTGCCTGAGGTTGTACAGCAAGCAAATGTTGTTCCTCACAGTGCACAAGAAAGAGGGGGAGTCAGCTCACTGTTCCCTGTAAGCCTCGGTTTCCTCATCTGTAAAATGGGCCTAACAGCACCCACCTCCAAGAGTAGATACTAAGGCAAGCGCACTACCGAGGGCATCATGAAGCAGGCATGTGACCTGTCCCGAGGGGTAAAGGACAAACAATGAGGGAAGCAGGCCTTAGCTGTCATTCATCATAGCAGAAAGAAGTCGGCCTCTGGCGGTTAGATGGGTGAGCCCTCAGAGGACACATTGCCCACCAACCATGCGCCCCGGGCCGTTGGGCCTCTCAAGGTCTCTGTGTCAAGCACAATTTCTGCCATTACCATTTTACAGATGGGGAAACTAAGGCACCCAGAGGAATGTGGGGCAGTGAGTGAGAGCCACCCAGGTCCCCCTCAGCCCTCAGCGCCTGCCTCCCTCAGCCTGGCCTTGTCTCTTTTCCAGTTTGGCACCGACTGGGCCGTGTACATGACCAAGCCGGACGGCACGTACGTGGTCAAGTCCGTCCAGGAGCTGCTGCCCGCTTCCTTTGGGCCCGACGACCTGCAGAAGATCCAGTGAAGGCCGAAGAACACCCCCTGTCCAGGAGGGCCTGGTTCCCACAGCTGCTTAAGGGGACAGCCACCCAGAAAACTTCCTGAAGGTGGCTTTGCTGACCTAAGGACACCAGCCAAACGGGGTCCCGTCATACAGGGGCCAGGGAGGACCGCTTTTCCAAGTCCAGCAAGCACCGTGAGGGGACAGGGCTTCTCTCGCCAGGCAGGGGCCCTCCTGCGCCCCGTCCACCCTGGGTTCAGAGCGCGCTGTCCCTGGCTTTCCCTCCCATGGCCCTCTTTAAAGCTCCACCTCTGGACGCTGCCCCAGCCTGAGGTCCTGGCCTGTTCCAGCGGCTCTGCTTGTCACCCGCAGCCCGATTTGCACAGATGTGTTTGCTTTCTGTCGTTGCTGCAGCTCTTGGCAGGCACAGGGCCATCTGTCCCATTTAGAAGGACCTGGACAGTCTACTTGGGAGAAAGCGGATACTTTAAAATTGTGCCTCTCTTCCATCTGCTACCATTTGTACCTCGACTGTCCCCAAAAGCCCATGTCTAAAAGGCTTGGTCCCCAGCCTGTGGCACTGCTGAGGGAGGGTGAAACCTTTAAGGTGGGAGACCTTCAGGTCAGGGGTGGCATGACCTTGTAGGGCACTGTGGGACCCCAGTCTTTTTCTCTCTTTTGCTTTCCTGTCATGAGGCTTTTGCTCCTGGCACCCCCTCCTGCCATGATGTGCTGCTTTTCCATAGGCCCAAAGTCAGGGGGCAAACCAGTCATGTACTGAAGCATCCAAAATAAACCTTTTGTCTTTATGAGATGATCATCTCGGATGTTTGTTATAGTCACGGAAAGCCAACGAGGACACCATCTCTAGAGTCTGGTTTTGGCTCAGCATAGACCTGAGCCCTGGACGCTGTCCACCTGCTGCCTGCAGCCGAGATTCCAAAGGGCGTGAAGGGAGCCTGGTCAACCCCCCAAAGCTTCCTCTCGGGGCCTCCTGGGAGTCGTGGACTTTCGTGTGTGTTATTTTTCATAGAAAATGCCCAACAACTGTGGGAGCTGGCTATCTCCCCTTCTCACAGATGAGGGTGCTGGGATTCGGAGAATCGAGCTCTCATTCTAGGACCATGGCAAAGCTTGGCACAGAATCCAGGGCCCTTGACCTCCCCTATGTTCTAGAAGCTCTGTGGACTTCGCCGTGCACCGAGGTGTGTACCACAATGGACCCATTACACCCTCATTTATCAAACCAAAGGGCAAGATCATCACCTTCACTTTATCAATGAACAAGGCAAGATTCAGAGGACCTGAGCCACACGCCCAGAGCTAGTCAGTGGCAGAGCCGGAATCTGAACCAAGTCTGCCTGATTCCAGCATTTCCCCACAGCTGATGTGCTTGTTTATGAGGGTTTTATACATCGAATATGCTAAATAATGCAAAGAGGAAAATGTCTAAAACACAGTCTCTGCCCTTGAGCCACAGTCTGACGGGAAAAGAGGAGTGTAAACAGAACCCACAAATACACACTGCCGTCCGGGCAGTACCGAGTGTGGGTGGCACCGTGGGGGCCGTGATGTGTCCTGGAGGTGAGGAGTACCATGGAGGGACCGTCTCTCTCTCTCTCTCTCTCACACTCACACACACACACACACACACACACACACACACGAAGGTCAGGACTGAATAGGGAAGGAATCAAGGCTGGTCCTCTGGAGGGGGGTGGTGATAGCTCCAAGTGTCCTTTCAGGAAGAACTGACCTTGGGGCCAGCTCAGTGGGTGGGATAAAAATAGAACTCAGGTTCCTTTGGTCAGGAAAGGGAAGTAATAATTGGATGCTATAATTTGGATTTGGAACGTCACCCAGTGACCCATGTGTTGAAGGATTGGTCCCAAGGTGCTGCTGGGAGTGGTTGAGCCTGTGAGATGTGGGACCTAGAGGGAGTGAGGCCACTGGGGTCCCCCAGCCCCTCCCTGCTTCCTGTCTGTCTCTTGGCTTCCTGGCAGCCATGAAGTCAACAGACCCGCTCTGCCATGAACTCCTGCCAAGGCAACAGGGCCAAGCGACCCTGGTCTGAAACCCCTGAATCTTGTGAGTCGAAATAAACCGTTCCTCCTTTTCAAAAAGTTGACCACCTCAGGTGTTTTGTCACAGTAACAGAAAGCTGACTGCTACCCTGAAGGACAGGAAGTGGGCGGGTAAGTCTGCCTTCGCTGGAAGTCTTTTCCAGCCAGGGGCTGCTGCCTGGGGACACCACACACACCCGGACTCACCTGCTGCCACCGTGGGAGACAGCAGTTGTCCCAACATTCGTTGCTGCAGGATACAAAACTCCACTCTGCTTTTCATTAAAATGGCTTTCAGACCTTTGCAACAGTCTTCCAAACATTTCCAACAAAATAGGTAGAGAAATTTTAAAAAGAAGAAGCTAGAAAAAAAATATGCCAAGATTTACATCAATTTTAAAGTTCTGCTTATTAAGATTATAAACGATTGATTTTTTTTCTTGTATACATTTTGTTTTTTTTTTAATTTCCAAAACATTAATAAATTAACAAAAATAAAATAAAGAAAAATGATACAGTGAAATGTTTAAAGGCTTACACTTTGGAGTTGAACAGGCTGTAAGCCATGTGGCTTAGCACAAGGTATTTCATGATTCTGAAACTCAGTTTCCTCATCTGTTAAATGGGAATGACAGTATCCACCCCATAGGATTGTTGTAGGGACAGAATGAAACAATGTGATATGAAAAGTCCACTGTTTGCCCAGCGCAGTGGCCCACGCCTGTAATCCCAACAGCTCAGGAAGCTGAGACAGGAGGATCAAGAGTTCAAAGCCAGCCTCAGCAACAGCCAGGTGCTAAGCAACTCAGTGAGACCCTGACTCTAAATAAAATACAAAATAGGGCTGGGGATGGGGCTCAGGGGTTGAGGGACCCTGACTTCAATCCCCAGTACCCGCCCCCAAAGTCCACTGTTCCACCTTTGGTAAGGTCTCCATAATTGTCACCTCTTCAACTTTATTAAGGGTGACAAATTTTGGTCCCGTGAGGATGGATTAATTTTTGTAAAGAGTCAACAGTCTTTTACAACCGATTTGTTGATTCCTTTAATATTTACTAGTGTGTGCTAAGACTGGAACCATCCTGGGGACACATCAGTCAATACGACAAAATCCCTGCCCTCGGGGACCTCTCAGGCTCAGTGGGAAAGTGAGGGTTTTTTTTTTACCATCCAGGTAAGGCCTGGGGTTAGGAGAGGGGTGACAAAAATAGGGCCTGGCTACAGGACGGGACCCAGTGTTTTGGTACTCTTCGCCAAAGAAAGAGTCCAGAAATTATTTGAATGGTTTCCACTTGGAAGAACAACTTGGAAGAACAATTTGACTCTACAGGGGCTGGGATGTTTATTTAAAATAGAAACATTTCATCCTGCAGCTGAGGATCTGGGTTTGCAGAGCAGTACACGCTCCGTGTTCAGCACGGTCGGGGTGTCTTCGGAGCCTAAAGCACATCCAGATTTCCATGGAAATAAATAGAAGCATGTATGGCCCCACGGCTCTCGCCAGCTGCTGCAGACTGCTGATGTAAACTGTGCGAATCTTTGGGGTTTCCTTTTAACACAGCTATAATGACAGACACTGGGGATACTTCAGTGACTGTGTTTGAAATGAAACCAGAAAATGTTCAAGAATAAATAGGGGGGCTGGGAGGGGCTGGGGTGGTGGCTCAGCAGTAGGGCGCTCGCCTAGCACATGTGAGGCCCTGGGTTTGTTCCTCAGCACCACATAAAAATAAATAAATAAAAGAAAGGTATTATGTCCAACTACAACTACAAATATATTTACAAAAAAATAGGGGGGCTGGGGATGCAGCTCAGTGGAAGAGCACTTACCTAGCATGTGCAAGGCCCTGGGTTCAAGCCCCAGAACCTCAGGATGGAAGGAAAGAAGGGAGGCAGGAGGGAAGGAGGGAGGGCTGGGGGTGTCACTCAGTGGTAAAACACCTGCCTAGAATTTGCAAGACCCTAGGTTCCTGGTCAAGTCCCACACTTGTATTTGATTTTATGGGCACAGAAACTAAACCAAAGGAAGCCTCAGTTTGTTACATGTTTTTAAAATAATAAATAAATATATTTATTAAAAATATTATTGAATATAATAATACACACACATACAAATTGGTGAAGGAGGAATTAAGGTGGGAATTAAAAACTCTATGACTGAACAGAAAAATGGACAGCATAATGGTTGCATTAGTTATCTATTTCTGTGTAATGAATTAACCCCAAATTTAGTAGCTTAGGTCCAGGATCATGTATGCTCTCGGCTTCTGCTGGCCAGGATTGGGGGCTAGCCAGGTCCTGTGGCTCAAGGTCCCTTACAAGACAGCAATGAAGGTGGCAGGCCGGGCTGTGTCTCCTCCGAAGACTCGACTCGGGGTGAATCTACTTCAAGGGCAGCTCACATGTTGTCGGCAGGTTCGGTTCCTTATGAGCTGTTGCTGAGATGACTTGGTCCTTTGTTCTCCCTAGGGCCGTTGACAGGGCAGTTGGCTTCTCTTAGAACAAGCCAGTAGGAAGCAAGACAGAAACCAGAGCCTTTCTGTAACCTCCCCACCCGACAAAGCAACATCCTGTCAATCTTGACTTTATTCTATCCTTAGAAGCAAGCCACTGAGACCCGGCCACATCCCAGAAGGGACTGCACAAGGGCACAAATATGCAGACGTGGGCATTCTTCAGATGTGGAAACTGAAAATGCACATGACCAAGAGAAAGAAAGAAAAAACGAAAAGTACAGAAAGTACAGACAGGAGGGGCTGGGGATGTGGCTCAGTTGGTGGAGCGCTTGCCTCGCATAACCAGGCCCTGGCTTCAATCCCCAGCACCACAAAAAAAGAAGAAGAAAGAAAGGTAGGTAGGTAGCAGAGGGTCAGAAGCAGCAGGCGTGGTGAGCCTCAGGAAAGAATTTGAGCTCCATTCCAAGGGCACCCTCAGCTTCAGGTGGAGGTGGAGGGTCAGTTTTGCGCTTTAAATAGCTCCATCTGCTAAATCAAGAAATAAAAGAGATGTAAAGAAAACTATCAGGAAAAAAAATAGGTAAAAAGGAAATATTGTCCCTGGGCTGGGGACTAGGCTTAGGGAAGCAGCTGACTTTTTATCAGGAGCCTGTGTCCATGCACTGCCAATGGGGGCTCGGGGGTTGTTTTGGGTTGGTTGGTTGGTTGGTTGGCACAGTTCTGGGGATGGATTCCAGGAGCCCAGGCGGGCAGTCTACCATTGAGCTGAGAATTAAAAGGAAGGAAATGTAATAGCAACAATGTGGCACAAATCCTAAAGGGTGGCTGCCCCCGATGGTTCTGCAGGGGAGGGGCGAGAGGGGGCAGCTCTGACTTTATCTTCAGGCCTCTCTGCACACCTTCCCTTTCTCCTCCCCAGAAGGAGTGACTGATGTGACCAGAAGTTCGAAAGCAAGTCACAACCTCTTCTTCTCACCTTGGCCTTGGACATGAGCCTGCCCACTGAGGACTTGTATTCCCCCATGGCTCTTAAACAAAGGCTGGGGACTTGGCAGGCCCTGGGTGGGGTGCTGGAGGGGCTAAGGTTTAAACCTCACCACCTCTGTCCTTACAGAGCTCGTATTTTAGAGGGGAAGGCAGAGAAGGAGCATCTAGTCCAGTCTGGAGAAGGTCAAAGAAGCCTTTTTGGAGGAGGTAACCCCAAATCATTCAGCACTGATGCAGCATAAAGGGCAGGGTAGGGGGATCAGCAAGAAAGACCCTGAGACCAAAAAGTGAGGCACCTTCCTTACCACACTAAGGAGCTGCCTCGGGCTCCATTCTGAAGGTTATGGGTGAGGGCAGAGAGCCTAGGAAGGACTTTCTGCATCAGGTGACACAGCTGTATTTGTCCTTTAGACAAGCAGTGTAGGGCAGCAGAAATATCGACTGCACACACCACTGATCGATCGCCTGAACTTCCCCACAAGGCAACGTCACGGTGGCTCCAGTGCCACCGTGCTCTCATCCATCTTGGCGCAGGCAATGTGGAAATCTCACTGTCTACCAAGGTCTGATCAGAACCTCCAGCCCAGGAGTTTTGAGTAGTAGTAGCAGGATTGTGAGATTGTGATCTGGCTGCAGCTTCGCTCTGTCAACAGTTTTAGCAAAATCCCCTTCCACCTGGGCTGGCAATTTAGAAAGAGCATTTCTGAAACGCTCTGTGGATGAAAGATGTTGCTGTTCTGGGAAAATGTGTCTTGTCTCCTGCCAGGAGAGGACAGAAAGCACTGGAATAGTTCCAAGAGATTCGGTCTAGAGAGGGAAGGAAGGTCCAACAGCTCTCCACAGTTCATTCTCATTCTCTCTC